AACCCTGGGGGGGCGGGATCCTAGGGGCTGTGCTAGGCAAGGGGCAGATGACAGAGGATCAGAATGGCTCCTTTTGGCTTTAAATGTGATGACTCGAGGAACTTTTGCCTCTGCTTCTGAGCTGTGCAGGGCCCTAGGGAGTGAGTCCCACAAGCCCTTAGGAAATAGACATGGATAAGTCACCTTCCCACAGCATCACTACTTTAATGCCAGTGACACTCAAAGCCAGCTCCAAACAGCTCAGCTGCAGAGAGCAGTTGGTCTAAGTCTACTTCTGTCAGTTCAATCTCACAATGAGGGCTAAGAGGACTCATATACATGTGTCTTTGGCTTATAGATAGATAGATACCGAAGAATCCTGGAGCTGGATGACCAAATGCATCACCTGTTGGGAAAAAATCCACAAAGGCCAGTACAGTAAGTTTCCTATTTCAATTAAATATGTTTGGGGATTAACATACAAGGGAAATTTAAGAACATGAATCAGAATTGCTACCAGCACTCACTAAGGATTTCACTATTAAATTACAACTAGAGATAGAAAAAAAAATCCTCATGTGACAAATTTCAACTTTTCATCAAAATCCCAAGACCCATTTTTTCAGCTTTAGGTTACTGAAAACTCTGAGGTGAAAAGTGTAAAGTTTAAGATGAAAACCAAACAAGGTTGCTTTTTTGAGTATTCAGCTTTCCAACAAAACTTCACAGATTTTCAGGGAAAACAGATACATTGTTAAAAAAGGCTCTTTTGCTAAAAACCCAATTTTCCAAACAAACAAACAAACAAACAAACAAGCAAAATTCAACTAAAATTTCCAACCAGACGTGCACTTTAAACAAGGGTGGGTATCCTTGCTGTTGTCTAATAATACCATAACTGGAAACCCATTGATTCTATTGCATCTGTTTGGATTTCTGTTTCAAAGGAAAGTAAAACTGAATAAACAGCAAAGCTGCTACTCACAGAATATGTTTTTTATGCACTAGGACTTTTGAACCCAGGTTTGGAGTTGAACCCAGCAGCCAAACCTGTCTATCCTGACATGGAAGATAGATGGACATGGAGAAGGTCAATAGGACTAGAACCCAGTTCTCTTTGTCTAGCACCATATCCCAGGTCCAACAGTGCTGCCAGCTAAGAACAAATACTGTAACTATGTGCACAGAACAGACAATAAGAAAGCCCATCCCCCAAGAGCTCATCGTCCTAGCAGACAAGGCAGAGAAAGGGAGGAGGGGAAAGAGAGGCACAAGGAGGGGAAGTGACTGGTCCAAGGTAACACAGCAGGTCAGTGGCAGAGCCAAGAACAGAACCCGTGTCATGACAGCCACTGACCCTCACAGCACAGACATAAAATCACAGAGGGAAGCAACACAACACAGCAGTAACTGAGAGATTCTACTAGTTCATCATCACACAGCTATGTAAGCGTAGCTGGCATTGGGTGCCATTAAACAATATGTGAATAGGCAGCGGTGACGGGTTGGATCCTGAAACCCCCTTGGGAACTGCCAACTCATCTGCCAAGACTATTTCTGCCCCTGCTTTCCACTCCAGCACCCTGTCTTGTTGAGGCAGACACGCCCGTCTGCTCCAACACAGACCCAGGGTCTGAACCAAGTGCCCAAAAGCTGCAAACTTAACTGAAAACAGCTTACAGAAGTATTCCTGTCTTTAACACTCAGATGCCCAACTCCCAATGGGGTCCAAACCCAAAATAAATCCTTTTTACCCTGTATAAAGCTTATACAGGGTAAACTCATAGATTTTTCGACCTCTATAACACTGATAGAGAGATATGCACAGCTGTTTGCCCTCCCAAGTATTAATACATACTCTGGGTTAAATAATAAGTAAAAAGTGATTTTATTAAATACAGAAAGTAGGATTTAAGTGGTTCCAAGTAGTAACAGACAGAACAAAGTGAATTACCCAGTAAAATAAAACAAAACACGCAAATCTAAACCTAATACGGTAATACAACTGAATACAGGTAAAATCTCACCCTTAGAGATGGTTCAATAAGTTTCTTTTCCCAGACTGGACACCTTCCTAGTCTGGGTACAATCCTTTCCCCTGGTACAGGCCTTGTTCCAGCTCAGGTGGTAGCTAGGGAATTCCTCATGATGGCTCCCCCTTTGTTCTGTTCCACCCACTTATATATCTTTTGCACAAGGCGGGAATCCTTTGTCCCTCTGGGTTCCCACCCCTCCTCACTGGAAAAGCACCAGGTTAAAGATGGATTCCAGTTCAGGTGACATGATCACATGTCACTTTAAGATCCCAAGCCTGCATTCCCCCCAGCCTGACTCACAGGAAGGCTTGCCTGCAAACAGAGCCATCCACAGTCAATTGTCCTGGTTGATGGGAGCCATCAAGATTCCAAACCACCATTAATTGCCCACACTTTGCATAATTACAATAGGCCCTCAGACTTATATTTTATATTTCTAGTTTTAGCTACAAGAGTGATACATTTATAGAAATAGGATGAACACACTCAGTAGATTATAAGCTTTGTAATGATACCTTACAAGAGACCTTTTGCAAGAAGCATATTCCAGTTACAATATATTCACTCATTAGCATATTTTTATAAAATCATATAGACTGTAACGTCACACCCTCCTTCTGAACTTACTTCCAGAGGCTTGGACACTGACCATGGCGGAGGCAGTATACCTAAAATTCCTCTTTGGGCTCCCCTCTGGGGCAGAAACTCCAGTGTCCCCAAAAAGGGAAAGAGACCCTGATCCAGCTGTGAGCTCACAGCTACCAGCTATGATGGACCTTTCACTGGCCAGCAAAATCCCCTCCCCCCCGTTTCACTCAGGTTGGGCTTGCTTCCAGCTACAGAGTCCTTGGGGTTTATTCCCACCGCAGCAGTCACCAGGACCCCAACTTCCAGCTCCAGAATATATCTCTCTGTGCACCTCTTCCACCCCATTACAGCCAGTTCATGCCTCTGGATCTTAATTGCTTTGTCCAGGGTTTGCTGGTAGGCAGCCTTTTCCTGGGCAAACTGAAGATCAATTTCCATCTGTTTTCCCTTTAGACTGTCACTCAATGAGCTGGGATACTACAGAAAGCCCCCTTCTGCCAGAACAGGCATCCCTCCACTCCTGTCTTGCTAAGTTAGACACTCCAGTCAGCTTCAGGACAGACACAGAGGTTGGGCCACACCAGTCTGCAGTTCACTGAAACTGAGATGCACTCAGCTCAGGGGCTTCTTAGTTAACAGAGACTTTCCCAGTGCCCAGTGTTCAGCCTTTCTGTGATGGTACCTTCCATAAGGCTTTATGGAAATATGCTTATGAATGTATATATATAACATAACTAGAATGTGTTTTATGCTACATATGCCATGTAACATATCTCTGTAAAGGTTATGATCTACTGAATCTATTAATCCTATTTGTATGCATGTATCATTTTTGTATTTGAAGTTATGAATATTGACTGCATGCTTGTTTGATTCTAAGTAGGCTGTAGTGAAGCAGTTGGTCAGCTTCCTGAGAAAAGACTATTCTCAGTAAGTGCCCAATCGAGAAACACTTAAGCCAGCAATGAACTTGGAGACACCAATCCACATCTGGGCTTTCCCAAGAATGTGGCTTGGCTGGTAAGGAACCCAGTCATGCATGGACATGTGACTTGCCCAGGTAACTCCAAAACTCCATTTTGTAGCTGGACTTTGCATAGGAGAGAGGAGGGGGTCTCCACCCACAAGAGAAAGTTTATTTAAGCCCAGGGGAGACCCCTCCATTTGGTCTTCAGCTGGCTAAAGAGAAAGCCTCTCCACCCCCAAAGATACCTGAAAGAAACTGGAACGAAGGACAGTAACTGCAAGGGGTGTGAGTGATTGCTGGACCCAGACTAGAAGGAGATTAGTCTGTAAAAGGAAGCATACTGGAACTGGTGAGGATTTTATCTGTATTCAGTTGGATTAGACATAGATGGGCATGTTTTATTTTATTTTACTTGGTATTTCACTTTTTTCTGTCTGTCACTACTTGAAACCACTTAAATCCTACATTCTGTATTTAATAAAATCACTTTTTACTTATTAATTAACTCAGAGTATGTATGACTACCTGGGGGGGGGGGGTAAGCAGCTGTGCATATCTCTCTATCAGTGTTATAAAGGGCGAAAATTTGTGAGTTTACCCTGTATAAGCTTTATACAGGGTAAAACGGATTTATTTGGGGTTTGGACCCCGTTGGGAGTTGGACATCTGAGTGTTAAAGACAGGAACACTTCTGTAAGTTGCTTTCAGTTAAGTCTGAAGCTTTGGGACAAGTAATTCAGACCCTGGGTCTGTGTTGGAGCAGATGGGCATGTCTGGCTCAGCAAGACAGGGTGCTGGGGTCTCAGGCTGGCAGAGGGAAATCAGGGGCAGAAGTAGTTTTGGCACATCAGTTGGCAGTTCCCAAGGGGTTTCTGTGATTCAACCTGTCACACTGGGCAATTTGCAACTTGTGTAGTTCTAGCTTCTTCTGATCTTCATTCTTACTTATTTTGCTTCCTTTTCTGTCCCTACTTCCCTTACCCAAAATACGCAAACATAAAATAACAAACCAGTAACCACTTTGTCTGTTCTCCAGCCACCACACTTAAAATTCACTTAAAATCACTACCAGTATCTCAAAACAATCAGCTGTGCACAGATCCTGCTCGACTACACCACTGTGACAGGTTGGATCACAGATCTTGGCCAGATCTTCAGATACTGTAAACTGACCCAGCCTCACAGGCTTCAAAGATTGGTGCTGATTAAGACTCATGTGATAACGCACTGGACTAGCGGTCTCATTGTCGTCAGTGAGGAGCACTCACCTCTCCTGCTCAATGGAAGTGACGAGCGCTCTGCTCCTGTGACAGTCACATCAGGAGTTACTTTGCACAGGGGAATTGGGACCAATCCCTCTGTCACTCTAATCCTGCCCATTGCCCTTCTCCTTCCCTCCACAGGCATCATACAACGTGCTGAGGAAGAAAATGTCCAATCAAACCACTGTGACCGAGTTCTTTCTGCTGGGATTTTCTGACATTCAGGAGCTGCAGATTTTGCACTTTGTCATGTTTCTAGTGATTTACTTGGCAGCCCTGATGGGAAACCTTCTCATCATCATAGCCGTAGCCCTCGACCACCATCTTCACACCCCCATGTACTTCTTCCTGGTGAATCTGTCCATCCTAGACCTCGGCTCCATCTCTGTCACCATCCCCAAATCCATGGCCAATTCCCTCATGAACACCAAGTCGATTTCTTATCCTGGATGTGTCACCCAAGTCTTTTTCTTCCTCTTTTTCATAGGAGCAGATTTTTCCCTTCTCACAGTCATGGCGTATGATCGATACATCGCCATCTGTCAGCCATTGCACTATGAGAGAGTGATGAACAGGGGAGCTTGTGTCCAAGTGGCAGCCAGTGCCTGGGCCAGTGGCATTCTCAATTCTGCACTGCACACCGGAATCATGTTTGCAATATCCTTCTGCAGAGGCAACACGGTTGATCAGTTCTTCTGTGAAATCCCCCAGTTACTCAAGCTCGCCTGCTCTGACTCCTACCTCATTGAAACTGGGCTTCTTGTCTTTAGTGCATGCTTATATTTAAGCTACTTTGTTTTAATAATTGTGTCATATGTTCAGATCTTCAAAACAGTTCTGGGAATCCCCTCTGAGCAGGGGCGGCTTAAAGTCTTCTCTACCTGCCTTCCTCACCTCATTGTGGTCTCCTTGTTTATTTGCACTGGCACATTTGCCTACCTGAAACCCACCTCCAGGTCAACATCAGGTCTGGATCTCATGATAGCTGTTCTCTATTCTGTGGTGCCTCCAGTAATGAATCCAATCATCTATAGCATGAGAAATAAAGAGCTCAAAGCTGCCGTGAGGACAGGGTGGAGATTATTCACTGAGAATAAAAGGTCCATCTTTCTCCTTTGACTGTCATTTCATTGTGTTTCTATATAAATGGAATCAATAGATGACATTAGTGTCTCCCTGAGAACATGGGAGGGATAGCTCAGTGATTTGAGTATTGGCCTGCTAAACCCAGGGTTGTGAGCTCCATCCTAGAGGGGGACATTTAGGGAGCTGGGGGGAAAATAGTTGGGGATTGGTCCTCCTTTAAGCAGGGGGTTAGACTAGATAACCTCCTGAGGTCCCTTCGAATCCTGAATTCTATGCTTTGCAATGTCTTTGCATGCAAAGGGGTATTTAATTGGCAAAAATGCAAACAAACTCAAGTCAGTAGAGTTACTGTAGATTTACGAGTGTTAATTTGATTGGAATCTATTTATCTAGCTATGTATCTATCTTGGATTTTTCTACTGCGACCCATCCCCATGTTGTCTGAGCACCTTTCACATAAAATCAGTAGCCAGATCAAAGTCCCTAATGGACTTCATGAGCTGTCTGGGTCTTCTCCATTTGGAGGTATGAACTCTGCTTGGGGCATGACGGCTATTGGTTTATTGTTTGTTTGTGTAACTCAGTGGGATATGACCGTGTGAAATCATGAACTGTATCAGTGGAATTATTGGCATGCTGACAGCACAAGTCTGGTGTTTCTCAATGGCAGCATACTGGGCTGCATTCCAGACAACTGCCCTGCCTGGGAAAGGCGTTTGACACCCCATTGAAGGATCACCACTGACAGCCATCAAGACTAGACTTTAGGGTCATTGATGTTTATTGTCTCTCAGTGAATACCCTCCTCCTCCCCACGGAAAAATGATTGGATGGAGAATGGAACGTCACAGTTTGAATCCATGCCATGGAGACAGGGGCCTGTTAAACAGGCCGGTTCTGATCCGTGCAGGGAGGGGCCGATCATGGACACACATAAGAAGGACAGGAAGGAGCAACCCAGACCAAAACTCTGATGAACCTCTGACTTACAGATGGGGTGATAACAGTCCAAGTAAGGGGGCACCTCATGAGTCTGTTGTTTTTGCATAGTATCGAACTCTCCTGTGCTTTCAGAGTAAAGTGACTGTGCTTAAGAAATCCTTTTGCTCAGCCAGTGTTCCTTGTTTTCCTGCAACATTGTCCCTCAAGGGGTTCAACTGGAAGCTCATAGTGACCTCAGACTAGGCAGAGCTCTGGGGCAGTGTGTGTAAGTTACTGAGGGGCTTGTCGAAACACAGACACCGATTTTGAGGTCTAGAGCAGATGGACAGGGGCCTCTCCTGGTCAAAGGAAGGGCATCAGACAAGAAGGCTCCACTTGGGAGTGTGTCCTAGAGTCCCAGAGCTTGCAAGAATGACTAGACTTTACTTAGATCCAGCTGACTTAGAAGCAAATAGCACTCAGTGATTGGGTCCACTCACAACAGACTGGTGACTGTACAGTCAGGTCCTGGGCCAGGTTGTAACAGTTAGCCTGTCTGGATTCATTTTGTTATATTTTATCAGTTGGCAGGGGGGTTTTTTTTGGCCAGGGAGCCATCATTGCAAATTTCCTGATGGAAAAACTTTTTTTTTCAAAACTGAATTTTTTAGGGTTGTTTGGGACAGTGCCTTTAAGGGCTGAGCTTCCCAGACAGACAGTCTGAGGGGCATTGAGAAGCTCTTGTTGCTATGTCCAGCCAGCTGGAACTGGACACAGTGGCACTCACTTTAAGCACTGAAAACCACCATTTTCTCATGGAAAATATTGATTTTGTGAATGGGCATTTTGTTAGAATATAGAACGTAGGTGTATTTTTATCACATAGCTAGTTATAGAGGTATAAAACAAAGAATCAAAATCACAGTCAGCCTGTGCATGGGCCTTCTCTCACTAGGATAGGCTGAGGCCTTGTTCTTAGGCTAAGACCTTTGGCTAAGCAGTAGGGGCAGCCATAAGCTGGGAAGCGAATGGACACATCCTCACATCCCAAACCAGTCACACTGAAATAAGGTGATATTGGGCTGTTAGGAAGACGATCCTGTCCTGATAGTGCCCATCACCACCAGATAAAGAAACAGATCTTAAGACGGTTAAAGAAAACTTAGTTTGATAGCATTCTGTCTGGCAAGAAATCACTTATCAGTGGTTATGAAACCCTCATTTCTGTATTGTTTTATCTTTATGGCCCCCACTATTCTATTGTTAATCAGTCTGGTTCTCTAATTGTTTCTGTCTGCTGTATAATTAATTTTGCTAGGTGTAAGTTAATTAGGGGAGTGGGATATAATTGGTTAGAGAATTATGTTACAATATGTTAAGATTGGTTAGTTACATTTCAGTAAAATGATTGGTTAAGGTATAGCTGAGAATATTACTATATAAATGGTTCAAACAGGAAGTGGAAAGGAAATTGGAATCATGCTTGCTAAGGGGAGGTGAAACGGGAACAGGGAACGGGGAACAGGGACACAGGCAAGGTTCTGCGGCATGAGAGCTGGGAAGAGGACATGGGGCAAACACTCTGCGGCGTCAGAGCTCGGACGGGAACACTGGGGAACAGGCTCTATTGGCATATAGAGATAAGCCCGACTGGTGTGAAGGGCTTCTGAATATGCTTGCTTGGAAACTAGCCCCAATAAACGTTTCCTTGTTTGCACTTTGGACTTCTGGTCTTTTGCTGCTTGCTGTCTGCGTGACAAGAACCAGGGAAGAGGGTGAAAGGAAAGCCCTCTAACATGTTTTACAATGGAAAATTGTTCCAGGGGAAAATTCCCTACCACCTCTACCCATGCTCCTGGATGACACAGGGAGCTAGTCTATTGACACCAATGGGAACACGATTGGCACTTTGCTGGGATATAGCATCTAGGCTTATCAGGCTGAGAGAAGAAATATTCCCCTTAGCAGGAAAGTGTCCACCTGAAAGACAAGCAGAGAGGAGCCCAAGCCCAGACTCCAATCCACTCTGGGATCCCAAATTCCTCCAAGTTCAAGAGAGGAGCTTTGGCTCTTAGGTTCTGGATCTGACCTATCTCTACAAACCCCTCCACTAACTGGATGGGCAGACAATGTCTCCATTGCTGGTTGACCCACAGGTTCCCAAACTTTGACTAGGTGCTGAGGTCAAAATGGCCAGCAGTATCGATGGGGCAGTGTACACAAGGCCTGGTCTCAGAGTGGAAGAGCCTTGAGATGCCACCTGGGGAAGACAGGGCAAGAGGCCGAACACCTGAGGTGGGTGCTTTCAGAAAGGTGACGGGCAGCTAGCCCCACACCCGTAACACCAAGTAGTTCTGCCCTTGACACATTGGTGACAGTGGCAACTCTCGGGAAATGACGGCAGACTCAGAAAATTACCCTGGGGAACAACTTCAGTCCATAAGGATGAGAAATGGCCTAAAGCTCCTTGGCTTCAAAAGGAGGAGACTGGGGCCTGCATGATTGCTCCAGGCAGCGCTCACCTAGGAAGTGTGTGGGAAGGAAAGGCCCTTTTCTATGTGCTGGGTTTAAGAGGAGGGCAGTTTTAAGCCTCAGATTACCTCTCAGTACTGCTTATCTTCACTGAGACCCACCTGCACTTTGATAGGGGTTTTACCAAACAGTGGAGATCTCCACCCACAGAGAGTCTTGAACCCATATTCTCAGCATTCCGTCAAGGTTCAAGCGTTTTACTGGTAAAGATGTCAGATGACTCAGGCTCAGTCACTTTATTAACCAAAAATAAATCAGCCCAGTAAAGAAACAGTTACTATTTTACCCAGAATGGGAAAGAGGTTTGCAGTTCACAACTCCACCTTGCTCTGAAATCATGGGCTTCTTTCTGGTCATATTTATAGTAACCTTGTTTACAATAAAAAGAAGGTTCTACACTTTCCACGGTATTACCTACGATTTATACACTAGTTCTTACCAGTTTCTTATCTTGTTTTGAACAATTTCCCCTAAATCTGCAAATTTAGAGATGTCCTGCACTAGCTGTCGCTTGGTACAGAAGCCATGTTGGTAAAGCATCAACAGAATCATCTGTCTTATCCTGTATTTTTGGTATGTCTCTGAACCTAACCCTGATATCACAACACTCCACATCATCCTTTGGTTACACAACTTCACAAAGTACAAAGCCTCCTAGGAAAACCTTAAAATGAACAAAGTTCTTAGTTACACAGAAACATATTTGATATTACCTATAATATGGATATTGTGTACTAGTACTGTCTCACACACAAATATCTTATACCTGACACACCTCTACGTCTCCACCTATCAGTGCAAACTACTCACCACCATGCAATGTGACCACCCCATGTGCAAGTTTCTGAATTTTATGACCTCCCCCAAATACCTCCCCTGACTACTTGAAAATATAGACACTGTGGCCCAGATTGTCCATGTCCATAGTGAAATCTGAGAGTGGAGATTTCACAAGGGATCCTGTAGTGAGGCGGCCTGGCTCCCAGCCGCCCCAGAGAGGGATGAGCCCCTTTGGATGCCAAAGTGGGCGGAGCCACTTGAGCCTGCGCCTGCCCCCCAAAGGTTAAAGTGCAGGACAGGAAGTATAAAAGCCCCACCCCAGGGCTCAGAAGCGGCCTGGCTGCTGGAGAAGCCAGACGCTGGGGGCCTAGCTCCCTCTGGGGAGACTCTTGCAGCCTGTGACCAACCTGAGGACTGGCCATACCAGTCAAGGCCTGATGACAACCAGAACCCGGAGAAGCTGTTAAGCCTACCGGTGAGACGCGACCCAGAGGAGCTGCCAAGCCTACCGCTCGCCGAGTTCCCTGAGGAGCCGATGGTGCTTGATTCTGTGGAGGACACCGACCAGATGCAGGTACTGCTAGAGGGGGAGGTAGGAAGTAGCCCGGGGGCAGCCGACAATAGTTTGGCTGTGACACACCCAGAGCCGATGTCAGTGTGTTGCGGCCAGGATCCCCACTGTCACAGCAGCAGGCAGCCTGCCGCTGTTAGGGCCCCGGGCTGGGACGCAGTGGAGTGGGTGGGCCTGCGTCCCCCCTGCCACCCCACTCACGGGTGGCAGTCTCCCCCTCGCCCCAGAT